ACTTTAGAATGTCGAAACAAAATCGGAGCATTTCTATTCTAATAGAAGCACTTAAAAGGGTAGTTTTGCTTTTGTGTTTTACGCGCGTAAAGTAAATTGCATTTTGAATTGATTGCACATTTACACAATAAAGTGTGTGACGCAAAACAAAAGTCGGCTAGATACGTATACATACGCGTACATGACACTATGCACTGTGAACACGTACGTAGTTGGGAATCATTTGAAACGCATCATAAAAAGTTATACAGTAGATAGAGTTACAGTAAAAAAATTATACAGCACGATAATACTATTTAAAATTGCACGTGATCATAAATAAGACCAATTAAACCTACGAACATACTGTAGAAGTTTTACCATAGGAGTGCTACAGTATTTACAAGATCAGCGGTAACACAGAAAGCAATTTTTAAAAGGTTTAATTTTGGTACGATTAGTATACGTCCGCGCTTGCAAATTAACAAATAATAAAACGTCACAAGAGATACAGTAAATGACACATTCTTGCGTTTCGATATTGTAAATATAGAATCAGCGACCTGGTTCTGGTTTATTTTATAAATATCTAATTCCGAAAATTTGAATGAATACAGTCCCATTGCTATGCTCTATATTTTACTCGATGTACAGTATAATGGATGCAGAAATCGGCACTTGTGTGGAATGCAACCGCCCCAACACGGGAAAGAACTGGTGCAACGAATGCAATGCAGAACACTTCAGGCAGGAGTTTAAGAAGTGGACGAGTGGAAATGATGCGGTTGACAAGCTGATCCAAGAAACTCAACTCAATGCACTTTGGTGTAAAGGGATATTGGAGTGGATACCATATGAAAATTTGGTGGGCATCAAATTTTTTAAAGAAGGAGGATTCGGAGATGTACATCGAGCTTCTTGGATTAGTGGCTATATTGTAAATTGGAATCGCGAAAATAAATCATGGGAACGACAGAGGCACAATAAGAAGGTGGCTTTAAAGGCTTTGCGTGAATCAGAAAATGTTAGCTATGAATTTTTTGAAGAGGTAATAGCAGTTATCATCTACTTTCACACTATGGATTTCACTCGTTAAATTAAGATCGAAATTTTAGGTTAAACGTCACCATGAACTATATGTTGACGACCACTCTCTAATGCGATGCTATGGAGTGACAAAAGATCCAACAAATAATAACTTCATGATGGTAACATCATACGCAGAATTAGGAAGCCTCCATGAATACCTGAATGGTCATCCAGATCAGCTCACTTGGGCACGAAAGTTTAGAATTTTAAGTTGCATTGCAAAAGGTATAGCGCGTATCCATGAAAAGAATTTAATACATAAAGATCTACACAGTGGTAACATCGTAATGTATAAGCAAGATTATCCGCTCATCACAGACTTTGGATTATGTAAGCATGTAAATGATAAAGGTGAAAAAAATAATGTACATGGAATAACGCAGTATATAGCGCCAGAAGTTTTATCCGGTAAAATGTACGAGAAATCGTCTGACGTGTATTCATTTGGGATTATAATAAGCGAGGTTATATTAGAAGGAAGACCACATTATACCCATTCGCATATTGACCTTGCCATGGAAATAATTTATAAAGATTTACGTCCTATACTTCCTGACGATACCCCTAAATATATTACCGAATTTGTTAACGCGTGTTGGAATAAAAATAGCAATGAAAGACCTTCAGCAAGGGATGCATACAATTTTCTTGATAAATTAAAAAATAGTCTTGAGAACGACATGATCAAGGATGTGGATGAGGAAGGAAGTAAGGAATTCATTGATTGCGTAATTAAGTATAGAGGTGATGACGAAAAAAGAAAAAATGGTACGCCGACAGGCATAAAATCCTCGGCGGTACATCGTGAAGCACATTATATTAGTCGAACCTTGGATACTATAAGTGGTATTATAAAGTTATTTATGAAAGAAATCCAATCGTCGAGAGTTCACTATTTAATGTTTCGTTTAATATTTTATAGATTATCCCAAAAGTCCGTTGAGATCTTACAACTTTGCAGGTAAAGTTAAGACTCATTTAACTTTGACAATCTAAAATTCACATATTAAATCAAGAAAAGATTCTAAGCAGCATCATCTGAAACTTTCATATGATATAAATGAGTCGAGCCCGAAAGAGAATGACAAAAAAGAGATTCAAATGGATGTTGACACCAAGCCAGGTAATTGTCACATGAGCATGTGCTCACACTAATTGGGTACTTATAATTGTTCTATTTGCAATTCGGATAAATAGAAAAGACAAAGAACTTTAAAAGAAAACTCCTGAATTTGAAGGACGAATTCCGTTGTTGTTAGAATACTTTCTTCATAATATTGCGAGGATTTAATGTAATAAAATATCATTTTCAAAGCACAATAATTTCAAATGTAGTCATAATTTGATTTCTCAATAAAACATGTCTCAAATCATACTGTATGTCATTGATCATCACTAAAATAATTCGGATTTTAAAATTTTTAATTTATTATACAGTATATTATTAATTCCTTGATTTTTTAAAATTAATTCATTATATATAAAAACTTAAATGAGAATCAATTTTTTAAAAAAAAATTTTATAACACAAAAATTTGAATGAGAGTATAATATAGTTCAATAATTTTTTAAGATCAAAAATTTTTTAAAAAAATATTAATTTAAGATTTGAGCCTTTTTATATTGATATTAAAAAATTTGATACATTTTTAATAAGATAATTATTGAAAATTAAAAATTTAATTTCTTAACAATTACTTTATTAAAATATGTAAAAGTTTTAACAATAACATAAAAAGTCTTAAATTTTAATTCAATTATTTTTAAAAAAATCTACTCTTTTAAATTATTGAACTATATTATAATTTCATTAATTTTTTAATATAGCCTAAAAATTAATTTTTAATTAAGTTTGAGTATAATAATAAATCAAATTTTATTCAAGTTGAGTATAATAATAAATCAATTTTTATTCAAGTTGAGTATAGTAATAAATCAATTTTTATTCAAGTTTGAGTATAATAATAAATTAATTTTAAAAAATTAAAGAATTAAAAATAATTAATAATAATGTATATAATTTCTATTGTAAGTATTTATTTATTTTAATCTTGTTTTTTCTTAAAACTTATTTAATAAGATTTAAAAAATATTTTTAAATATATTAAACTATTATATTGATCACAAAAATTGACTAATATTACAATATACAGTTCGGTGC